AAACATGTTTCTATTTCTTTTAGAAAACACCATGCGAAAAAAAGAAAACAGCTTGTTTACTTTGATCATCAAAATGTAAATTCTCTTTGCTTGCGCCATCATTATGTCACCAGCTTGTGCCAGTTCTGTTTTTCTATCAAGTTATAGAAACACTATTTTAAACCAATCGGCATGCATATTATCATAGGCATGTTTCCTAAATACAGATAAATCATGGATCATTAGCCAACTGGAATGAAGTTATATCTGATCAAGATGAGGGCTGGTGACCTTCAGGGATGAAAACATACTATTCAAAAGCAGCCAGCCGCCTCTATAGAAAAGTGACTTTGAAAATTAACACCCAAAAAAATGTACAATATGAACCTGCCTTAGCTTAAAGGATTGATTTGGCTCAAGGCAAGTTTTCATTAACATGTGCATTCTTGGGGTCTTACATCTGTACAAACTGTTACTGGAGTAAACTCTGATGGAGTCGCCATGCAGCTTGTCGTCCTACAGCAGCAAGTAACACTCGCAGCCAATTCGTGCTTTAGATAAGATACACTGTCACTATCTAGTACAGAACAATGTGACATAAAGCCATAAGATATTAATATTTTGCTTGGTGCAGCATAGATTTCAAGTGCAATATCCATGTAGGTTGTACTTGAAGAGCACAGAAACAGCTGACTTGATTGTCCAGTCTTGGTGAGAAAATAAACTCTTCTAATGCACCTCCCAAGGTCTATAAAAACAACCACATACATCAGAAAACCACTACAAATGTTTTTCAATTTTCAAGTGTTGAGCAAACTGGACAAAAAGACTGAGGGGCAGAGGNATATCCATGTAGGTTGTACCTGAAGAGCACAGAAACAGCTGACTTGATTGTCCAGTCTTGGTGAGAAAATAAACTCTTCTAATGCACCTCCCAAGCTCTATAAAAACAACCACATACATCAAGGAAAACAACTACAAATGTTTTTCAATTTTCAAGTGTTGAGCAAACTGGACAAAAAGAGGGCAGAGGAGGGTAGCATAACTATGATGCACACACTTCCCCTCCTGGAGTGGAACCTGAGAGAATAGGGTGCTTGAAGCTTCAGAAACTTGACAAACCATTCAGTGAGAACTCACATTGTAATAAAAGAAGTGAAAACATCAAACTCTATCGCTGGTCTTCATCATTTCAAGAATTATTAATAAATGTTATTTGACTTTTAATGAGCATCTCGACACAAGTTAGAGAGACATCTATGTATTACACAGTTGTACTTACAGCGGGTTGGGTGTCAGCCAGGTGCAGGTCAAAGTCCAAGATGTTCTGTTTCTCACAGCTGATCTCCTCCGTTAGAAGTTTGATCAACAAGGCCTGGTGACTGTCACTCTGGAGAAATAAAGAAATAATTATGCAGGGGCAGATTTAGGGAGGGGGGGGGGGGGATTGGCCAGCCCTTCTTAGGAAGAGCAAAAAAAAAAATTAACATTACGGCGGAAACAAAGGCAATCTCACCATAATTTTTACTTTGTGGCATTGCTAGTGTTTCTGGTATAACAGTTTTCAGTTAGGTTCCAATTATCAAATTGAAACATTTTGGGGGCATGTCTCTTAAATTCTCAAACACCAAGATACCAGCCACCCCATGGATCTGCCCATGTTATGTGACAATTAACCCCTTATTAATCTCCAGGTTACATCCCAAATTATAATCATGTTACTACCAGGCCCTGCAAAACCAGAGACTCTGCTTGCTTAAGTTTATAAAAGGACCAATGACTTAAGTTTACTGCATGACTAGCTTGATCTGTGAGCGGCCAAGATGAATCAGAACATGTAGTAAAGATGGGGCTTAATCTTTCAAGCCTGATCAAGCTTGTTTGGTCAAGCTGCCTGGATATTGTTCTCACTTTTTCCTTTGTGTATTTAACTTAGGCCCTTGTCCACATCCTGGCCCACAAACACACGAAAAAGAACTAATGGCAATATCCATTGCAGCCATCTTGACCTCATGCTTGTTCAATAACCATATTTCTGGGTTAAATGTTTTTTTTTTTTTTTTCAAATTAGAGCAATTAAGGGCAAGACTCACCCTGCATGCGGTTTCCTCTGATGCTGTGTCACTGCTACTGACCTCATCTGTGGTTGATTTATTTACTAACCCTTCATACACACATGTTGACAAGATGGGAGCACTGACAAGCAAATAATGCACAAAAACAAGGACAATCATTTTCATTCCATGACATAAACTCCAACTTTTACTGGTGATTTTAATAAAATCAGTATATTTAATAACCTTGGAATTTGAAGATCAGATCCACTTATTGGCCAAGGTCCTATATAAATGTTGAAAAAACTGGATGACCCAAAAACTCTACATATGTGCACATGTACACAATACCAACAATGTGAAAAAAAAAAAAAAGATTGAAGAGGTTAATAAAAAGTCCAATGTGGGGTCTTTGTTAACAGGTTGTTTTAAAATTCTCTTATATCACTACAAGGTAAAGTGACTCTGTGTTGAGTTCATACTGCCAAAGAGTTTTTCCCAGTTTTCATGGCATGAAGTGACTTGGAAGACCTTAGCTTGGAGGATTTCTACTCCTTTGCAGGGTTCCCCCATGCCAGTATATTTGCCGGCACCCATTTTAAACCTCGGTGGAGAGAGGCACTGTGGGAGTTACATGTCTTGTCTAAGAACACAAGGTCATGACCCTGACCATAGTTGAACCTGGACTGCTCAAGTTGGAGTCCAACCTGCTAGGCTGCTGCACCTCTCACCATTATGATTGCTTTGCAGATACAAAATTCTTGCCACAACATAGGTTTTACAATTTCTCCTTGTCTGGAAAATTTGAAATCGTAATTTTATTGCAAGATGAGTGTTACAAGTTATTCCTGGTGAAATTCCTTCTGTATTTGCACTACAAGTAGGTATAAAGTAACCTAGATTAATTTAACATGCTGCTTCCTTCATGTTTCAACAGGTTTGTACAGTGCTGCATACATGTACTTGGTACTCTGGTACTCACATGTGTGTTTCTTTATTTGGTGAGAATTTGTCATTAATATCACGCTGTAGATGGATGGCCAGGTGTGGGACTCTCATGATTGGTCGGTTGACATGAACAAGATGGTGTTCCAGTTTATCACCTCTCTGTGAATTTAAACCATGAGATGAGAGATATCCAGACACACAAATTAATGCATATAACAACTTTTTCATACAATTTTTATATAATTTATTAAGTTACAAATTGTGAAAAAAACTGCAATTTATAGTCCACAATATATACCAACTGCAGACCCCTATATCAAGTTGACATAGTCTCTTCAATGTCTGGCCAACTCTCCAAAATGGCCAAGATTTTCATCCCAACCACCTGCAGACCCCTGTATTCTTTTCTCTCAAACTACTAACCCTTGACAATGGCTGGTTAATTCTAGCCTATGGAGGTCTTTGTGGAGAGGGTCAACAGCTGTACATACCAAAGAAGCTCATGAAACACAGTGATTTAAATCATACTTAAATACATCACACAATATTGTAAGCAATTTCAGCACTGACCAACTAGCCATACAATCAATTAATTATTAAAATAATTCAGATGGCTTTAAGCAAAAGAAAAAACAAAAAATAGCCAAATAGTTGCATGGATGGGCAACACTGGAGAAGATTAATTATGTCAGAGTTACAATTGATGAAACTCAAAAGCCATCATCCTGACTTTTTCAAGGTTATGAAAGTGTTACTTATAAGGCTTGCAGAGATGTCATTTAAGTCTTGTTATTTGGCAATGATTTTGCCATTACTGTTGCTCTGATGCCAATTTGAAGTTAAGAGCCTACATTTAATGAGCCTGTTTGAAATTGATATAGTCATTAGCCAGTACATGTAGCCCCTTTAAAATAGTGAAGTACATCTATGTCTTATACCATTTGACCCCTTCTGAGTGACTGTACAAAACAAGAACTCTGTATGGGCCTGTTTAAAACAATAAATGGCAAAATGATGAAATGGCAGTATGAGTGCAGGAGTCAAAAAATGTGGGATACGAATGTCTGTTACCAAGGGTAACCCTCACTTGCCGAGTAAGTGATATTTAGGCTAACCCTAATGCCATGTTGCCATTTTGTGTTTTAAACACACGCACTCTGTGTTATGTATAATACCTTGATCATAACTCTGCCTGCAAGTTTTAAATCCCTGTCAAACCATGTTGCCCAGATTCCTCCTCCATAACACTCCACGCCCACCTGTTGGTAACCATTGCTGTTCTTCTTGGAGTTGGGCTTCACCTGTTATAAATAAACCAGCAGACTTAGAATAAACAGCTGAGTACATACCATATCTATTATTAACAAATCAGCCCAAAGGTTATTCATTGTAAAGTATTCACAGAAAAAAAACTTTTAGGACCTAGTAGTTAATATAAACCCAGCCCCTTTTATGAAGCTCAATAATGTGTAGAAATTTTCCAAGAGCTCTACGACTCTACGGTAGTATTTTGCATGTTTAAGCTCCATTTCTCTTGGATATGCATACACAGTAGAGTTTTAGTGGCGTATAGTTATTGTAGCAAATATTATATTGCTTAGGGAATGTTGAGTGTTATTACAGATTGCAGTGTTTTAATAATTGTTTTCAACTTACAATTCTGTATCGAGTTTACCCTGACTACGCTCTATGCTCTATGCTCTACGCTACACTCCATTTTCCACCATCTACACTCTACGTATTTACGAGTTTATCAGTTCAAGAATTTTTGACTACTCTCTACACTAGCTTAGAGGCTTAAAAAACCAGTAGAGTGATAAAAAATATTAGGTTGCGAGTGCGAGTTACTCGATCATCTGTGATGCTGTAATTTTCGTAATTGTAATTTATTGGCAGATTAAAGAAGGTCATCCAAAATATGTTGTGCAAAAATTTAAGCTTTTTCTACTGTCCTTTTTTGGACAAAACTTGTATGAAATCAATTAATTAAATGAATTTTTTTTCAGCATTAACTAGTAGAGTCTTCCCATTTCCAGTAACTCCTTGATGTTTCTAGCATAAACTTGCACCTTCTTCTAAAAACAGCATTAAATAATGTTTAGAGTCGCCCATAGTATTAAGATCATGGTTAACCCTAAAGAACATTTTCAACATGAAAGATGACTGAACATCTTTTTTATGTACAACCATAAGTTCAATGACTTTTATGCAAATTATAACATAACACTCATTAAAAAACCTAACTCTGACTATAACAAAATAAATAAATAAATGTCTTGAAATGTGCGGCCAAAATAATCAATGAAGGCAGTATACTGGTACATGAGCAGTGTACGATTTATAAATATGTGTAAAATTACCTGCTATTAATTTTAAATTAACTATTATTCATAGGTTAAACATGGATAGATCTTAACTCATACCTTGAGGCATGGACTATCTGTGTGCGCACCAACAATACTAAAACCATTACCAGGAGTATACTTTCCACCCACAGCAAAAGCAATGATTGTTGATTGATTTCTTGTCACAAAATACTGATTCAGAAATGAAAAACAAAACATGTAAGAATAAAAAATTCTGAGCTGTGGCTATGTCGAAATGCAAATCAGCAAAAGCAACTCAGAATAAACAGGGGGAGGATATTTGGATTGTAAGATGCGATTGACTCCTGCGGTCAAACAAATGTTTCATTGACTGCAACGGAATGCCATTTAATAGTTATGAGGAGAGTCAGGAGAATCAGAGTCATGAAAAGGACGTACATGTCATGCTTGATGTCCATCACATCATAAGAGTAAGTTAAACACAATTTAAGCAAAACCTACCAGGGGCATGGCCAGGATTTTTCAAAGTGGGGGGTCACACTGTGTCAAAGTGAGGGCACTCACCAGAATGTCATGGCATTTTTGCCACCTGTTGTAGGTTGCTTGCTTACAAAAAAGGCTTACAAAAGGGCGGTCACAGGCACCCCAGGATCCCCCCTAGCTACGCCCCTGCCTACTGGTGGGGAGAAAAAAAAATCCCTACTATGATTTTAACCCATGGCCTCCCAATTGTACCAGGTGGGTGATCTATCCACTGAGCTAAGGAGAGTCCCCTAATGAGCAAGACTATCATAATGGAGGTGTTCAGTAGGGACAAAATAGTCAAAAAAATATTTAGTAAAACGTTTATCTCAAAAAAGGTTGTTCTTCACAAACAACAGGTCAAAACCATAGAATACTAAGTCAATGTTGTAAGTCAATGTTGTAAGTCAATGTTGTAACTTTGTCAAATAATTTTTTCACTTTCTGTTTCAGTTAAAAATTTTGACATTTTTATCAGAACACCATCATTGACACATATCCTGGATAAAGCTAGGATTTTCAATGTTGTGAGTGTACTGTTTGGTGATAAATGAAGAATGATGGTTCATTTAAGCTTCATAGAAGTTGCCATGTTCATCACTCCACATGCACGGGAAAATGAGAAATTCTCAGAGTCTTTTTTTAACTAATTATTAAACAAATGCAATTTATTGAATTTAAGCTATCATAATGTTGACCATACTGTTATGGGATTAATTATTGTGTATAAGTAAGTAAATTTATGAATGTACATTCTAACTGACAGCGTGATCTCGACATAAGCCTAAGGAGTATTTCACCTTATCAGAAGGTTTAACATCCCAGTGATCTCTTTCCTTGAGCTCTTTAAAACCTGCTAAAGTCAGCACCTTTCTGCACTCATTCACAACTGAAATAAAAAAATGCTGGCAATATTGACTGAATAATAAACACGGTTATTACTGACAAAAAAATAACAGGTAATACTTAGGATTTCTCCTCACGGAGAAAAACTACATTTAAGTGCAAAAATTATGTTATTTAATATAATTATAGTTTACATGTCACTTATAAAAATTGCATTGTCCTGGCAGAAAATATCCATACCACAATGCTCTTATGAAACATCTTCCTGGCTTGAACTCCCCACCAAAAATTCCACTTTAAAATAGCATACACCTGGTTGTTTCGGGGGTTTGGAAATTTTCTGGAGCTGTATATTGTGTTTGAAGAAGTGTTATTTTTTTACCCTTTCATTCCCACCAGAGAGAAAATATATTTTTGTAAGAATTGTGTCAACTACAGTATATCAATTTAATAGCATACCATTTCTAAATGTTGTAATTTATTTAATATCTGTTATCATTATTTTTATCTACTTTATGACATGAACTGAAGACTGCAGATACTGTACCATGATATGGAGAAGGACCATTGTTGACAAAATCAACAAACTTCTTTGCAGCTGACTTCACCACTTCAAGAGAAGAAACCTGCAGAATGATAGAAAACAGAAATAAGAAGGATTTAATTTGATGAATGGTATTAACATTAAACTTTGGCTTAGCTTTCAATCAATAGACAATTTCATGCAGTTAGAATGCACGAGTTCAACGCCTCATTTAAAAAAATACATTCCTTAAAACAAAGATCTCAGCATGATCTATTTGTATCTAAAGGATGCCTATAAAAAAGCACATTTGACATGAACCCTTTGGACTTAGGCTGAATTACAGAGAGACCTCTGAGCTATGGGTAAATAGATCCACTGCCTTGTGGCCCAGGAGGGTGAGTAAAGTAGCAGAAATTTTATCAGAGGCAGGGAAGAGTTCCACTTATTCAAAAATTGCAGAAATGTCTTCTTTGGTAAAAATGCAAATGGAATCAGACATTCTTCCTGAATGTAAATTTGTAGCCAAAATTTCTGGATTTTTGTTACGTTGGTCAGTGGAAACTGCCAAGAGAAACATTTTGCAACATTTGCATGAAATATGCTAGAATCGATGTGCTAAAATTCTCATATTTCATAGAATTATAGATAAATGGAATGAACTGCCATTGGACACTTCCTGTGAATCCAATCTGAGAGCTTTTAAGGCAAAAGCTAGAAAATTACTTTTGTCGTGATTTAATGTGAAGGGTGAGAGGATTTTATTTTATTTATTATTATTATCATTATTACTATTATTATTATTATTATTGTTGTTATTAATTTATTTATTTTCCCATTTTTCTTCCCTTTTGGTGGTCTGTTTTTAATTTTGACCCCTTTACAGATCGTCCATACATGTATACAGTGTATGGCTTACATTTTTTATTCTTTGTAGTAGTCACTAAATTGTAATAAAAATATGTTTGCAGCTGCAAAAAATATCAAGAAGTGGGAACCATTAAGGGACAGGAACCTGGGGTAAAAAGCACGGGAAGGGCAAGTTTAGAGCCCACTGTACCCTCAGAGATATTACGCCCACCAACACAGAGAGCTGGTCAAATAATAGAATAGGATAGGGTAGCATAGGGTAGGGTAGGGTAAGGTAGGGTAGGGTAGAGTAGGGTAGGGTAGGGTAGGGAAGTGTAGGTGGGGTAGGGTAGGGAAGTATAGGGTAGGGTAGGGTAGGATAGGGTGGGTAGGAAAGGGTAGGGTAGGGTAGGGTAAGGTGGGGTAGGGTGGGGTAGGATAGGATGGGCTAAGATACAGGCTAGGGTAAGATATGGAAGGCTGGGATAAAGGGGTAGGGTAGGGTAGGGTAGGGTGCGGTAGGGTAGGGTAGAGTAGGATAAGCTGGAATAGGTTAGGGTAGGCTAAGCTAGGGAAGTATACCTGCCAACTCTCACGCCTTATGCATGAGTTTCGGATTGAAAATTTCAATCTCACGCCAGCTCACACTTACTACACATATCAAAATAAATACATAACCTATCTACGCACTGTTAGAGGGCATACGTGAAATAGCCAAGGTCCACAAACACATAATGAGGTCATTAATAAGTTTACAATTTAAGCCTGATTATAATGCTGTACAGCATCACGTTAAATATTTTTATCGAGGTGCTAGACTTCAAAACGAAAGTGATTTTGTCATAGTTTCTCTCTTTCCTTTATCTTATTAAAATAAACATCGACTTAAGCTCTCATTCTGCCAGATCAAAATTAATTTACAAGAAATTTCCGGGTGGTGTTAACAATTCATTTAACAGATTCAATCCAGGGAACAGCTGAAACGACAAGTCACTACCACAACCTCACCTGAACAGCCATTTTTGTTTTCTGACTAGTGTTCAATCCCCTTACAGCCGCCCCTGACCGGTTTGACACGAAAGTGATGATCAAGGCGTATAATTCAACCTTACGAACAATTAATTCAGACGAAAGTATGCGGTACTTCACTGGCAAAAGTTGATTCCAATTTTCGAAAGTTGAAGGTGGTTCTTCTCGTTGTAACACTCATTTATCGGCGGAATCAATGACCCGCGGGGGTGGGGTGGGGGACTCTTAGATGAAAAGGGAAGCTCGTGTCGGGGGCGCTTTCCATTCAACCAAAAATTGGAAATTTCGAAACGGGGACAAACGGTACGGAAATTCCCTGGGAAAGGTTCCAACAAATCCGGACTGAATTATTGAATTTCCGAAAAACGAATCATTAACCGAAAATTCCGGAACTTCTAGGATTCCCGATTCTACTACTGACGATCACAATACAAACTAAGTTCGTGCCACCATTGAAGAAAGACATTCAAGGAAGTTTGCAACGGTTTATGATAAATTTGATGCTAGCTCAGACCATCAACAAAGATAACTGGATTGTCAATTTATCAAGAAGGGCACTCATGATCACTTCTGCTAAACGCTTCATTCTCGAGAAACCGGTCCGTTGTTTGCACTTACTCCATCGAAGACCAAGGATATTATATGCGAGATTGAGGTTGCAACAATCTTTTGTAAATAATAATGTCGTTTTTCCGGCCGAGGCTAAATATTCCCATTTATCTGCCTATTTTAAGCTGAAAATATTCTTGTGAACATCCTTAGATTTCACGGCATGTACTAAAACCCGAAACAACGAAACGAAACCACCGAGATGACCGAAACGACCGCAACGAAACGACCGAAACGAAACCCCCGAAACAAGCGAAACGACCGAAACGAGTAAAACAGTAAGTAAATGAATAAAAAATTTTTTAAAAAAAACCTTGATCTTTAGCACGTTACTATGGCAGCCGGATCTCGTACCCAGATCCTGCTCTTAAGCCACATGTGTGACATCGTGACGTCACAAACCTGAAAGGTGGATGAGCGCAAGCGTGTCAAGCAGGAAGACATCGCGAAAAAGGTGGGTATTTTCACATTCTAAATGGTATTCTAGCTAAAACAAGAAATCTAATTTCAAAGAAAGGTTTTCTGGTCGTATCGTAAATTCGTAGACGGTGGCGAATCGAATGGTCTTTTCGAGAATGACTTTGCAGCATTCTTCGTGCGAACCAGGACTTTCTTTAATATATATCTCTAAAGAAAAACGAGGGCGACTTGACAGGCTTTAATCATATTAACGTCAGGCCTTCGTGACTCCTGCAGTTCTCAAAGTAATTTCTTATTAGGCGCTCAGCTCTTCACGGATATTCTTGAGATTGTGTTTCCGTACATCCTGGGCTCAGCGCTGTGGATTCGCCACCACCTAAGAATCCACGATACGACCAGGAAACCTTTCTTTGAATTACATCTCTTGTTTTAGCTAGAATGCCATTCAAAATTTGAAAAATACTCACCTTTTTCTCGATGTCTTCGTGGCCGTCGTCGACACCCTTGCGCTCATCCATCTTTCAGGTTTGAGATGTAACGATGTCACACATGTGGATCTGGGTACGAGATCCGGCTGCCATAGTAACGTGCCAGATATCAAGACTGTTTTTTTTTTTAACTTTCTCATTTATTTACTTACTATTTTACTCGTTTCGGTGGTTTCGTTTCGGTCGTTTCGTTTCGTTGTTTCGGGTTTTAGTACATGCCAGATTTCACTCATGGGTTGTCTAATTGATTACCCGTGTCGGTGAAATTTCGAGTGTTACACCATAGGGGGGAAAGGAGAAAAGGAAATGCTGGGAGTGGAGTGGGGAGAACTGGATAGCCTGCGTAGAGAGCGCGAGCAAGCGGCGAGAGCGGCGATGCCGCGAGGAATCGCGGCTTCGTTCTCGTGAATCACGCATTATACGGTCCTATACCCCGACCAACTAAACCGCCAGCTTCGTAAGCTGAAAACTGGATGGACTTGAATGGGGAAATAATTTCGTGGAATATTTAAAGTAGGGAGAAGGAGAAAATTGGCTCAAAAAGTGGGGAGAAGGGAGATTTTCCCCCTCTTTTAGATAGGACTGACTGCGATCACAAAATGGAGCCCACCATGAGAAGAAGCACAAAACGGCGGCACAGCTTCCACCCTCTTAAATCGGGCGAGCAAACTCTCAAATACAACTGAGGCGAAATTTAAACATGTTATCCCTACGAAAGTGAAGAATGATCATCGCAGTAAATTTTTCAATTTAAGCAATTGGAAAGAAGAAGCCTGAAAAGAAAAAGCAATCAGGGCTTCAACGGGATTCGAACCCGTGACCTCCGCGATACCGGTGCGATGCTCTACCAACTGAGCTATGAAGCCACACATTGGGAGGGAGGTCAATTAATTGAGTTCATATCTTCACGTGAGGAGTGAAATGATGTGACTTTATTTACTGCGATGATCATTCTTCACTTTCATCTACAACCGCAGTTCAAATATGAATATAAAGTCACATCATGTTATCCCTACCTTGGAAAAAATGGTTAACCCCTTTCGACCATTACCAACATCTTGAATAAACCTGGCGTGGAAACAATTCCTCAGAGGAATTAGTCGGCGTGTTTTTCAAATGCGCCGAGCCATCTATAACCAGTTTCGATTTCGCTTGTCTGCCTAGCTTGCGAGCAGGCTCACGTTGGAGCACAAGCAAGCGCGGGCGGCATACGAGAAAGTGGCGCCTCCTTCCCGCCGGATCGCTATGCTCTTCGCCGCTCTACAGTCTGACGGATTACTCTGGACCGTAGGCCTAACCGTAGAAATAAAGCTGTATGCGTTTTTAAATTCCTCCGGCGTAGTGTGGAGGGAGTCTGGAGCAAACCACGACGTCAATGAGCACCACCAAACAAAAGGTTTAATGAGCAAAACAAAGGCTGTACAAGTGTGTTCAGTAAACCTTCGCGAAAGCGAACGATGAGTCGAACTGCTAATTTTTCGTGTTTCCATTTAGAATTGAAGGCTGTCATTACATATTTAGCCTGAACGAGGTTTTAGAGCCATAGGCATCCTGGACAAATTCAATTTTACATGGCGTTGTCCTCGGCGTCGCCGTCGTCGTTGTCAAGATCCCTAAATTTGCATCTCGGATGCTGGAGGTCGATACACTTGTTTAACGAGGGGTCTGTCATCTTTAGTGGCTGCTTTCAGTGTGCTTTGGTCATGTTTTATCCCAAGACCAGTCGAATGCAGATGCGAGTATCGTGTAAAAACCGTAAAAAATCACTTAAGTTGCAATACTTTGCCAAGGTTCTTTTTAATTCAGCGATTAAGTTGTCGAGCGTTTCGGTAGGAAGTTTTTCCCTCCTGCTAAAACAATCTCGTTTACGTTACTTCGCCGATGCAACACCTTTTCATCTTCATGGCAATCGTTTGCATCTTCTTCTTCACTATAGCTTTGAGCACTTAAAGGCCATCGTCATCTATAACGTCCTTGAACATGGCGAGTTGATACCCGGGGCTTTCCCGCTCCAAACCAAGTAATTATTACAGTATTTCTCTTTCCATAGCTTCCAGTTCTCGGGGATTTCGCTACTTAATTGACCTCAAATCTAAATGTTGTGGGGACAATGATATCTTGTGAAATAACATTGAAAATTGTGATGCTTTTGGCGGCGAGGTGAGGTTGTTTTCACTCGTAGCATTCGTAGATGGTAAACGTTGTCGACGAATTTGAACTACCCTTTCGCTGCAACATGTAATATTAGATGGCCGAGAGAACCTTAAACGAACCTCATCAATCAAAGCTTAACCTGACTACTGTAACCCAAGATACACAAGGTGAACGCGTATTTTAATATATAACTGTATGTATAGCATAAGTTACAAAGCCGTTACAGAACATAAGCGTGCATATAAAGAATGTTTGGCAAATTAGCATATTATAACCTTAAATTAAGGTATGTCCGCCATTTTGAATAA